AAGGCAATACTACTACTTTAAATACTCGTAAGTTACAGGTCCCGCGGGATTTCCTGCTGATTTGGTTACAAAGGACTCAGGTCACGTATTTCTAAGCCCGCAACCAGTTGCAACACTCAGTAATGACTGGGAGGCTTCGAGGGGCTGCTTCATTAAGAAAATCGGATGATTGACAACTTTTGGAATTCTTAAGCGGTCACTTCCCGAGGCACAAATCACCTCCGCAAGTACGGTATATGTACTCGTAGTATAGTCAAAGAGTATAACTCCCCAACAAGCTTTTTTAGGCGGTCAGCGCTTTTCAGGCTTTCAGCGCTCTATTCAGCTGTAAGTTTCATCTTACGGCTTGAGCGCCAAAAACCACAACGCAACTTTATCAAAACGTGAGAGGAAAACTCTGGCAGTGTTCACTGTGACATCGTTTGAGTTACTTTATAAATTTTAACAATAAAGTAAACTACATATCGCTCATTTACTTCAATAGTGTCATAAACAAAAAATTACAAACATTGAGCTGGGTATGCAGACAATGCCACTATCTTTGCTTCTATGTTGTGAATAAATTTCATAGCATAATAATAGTATAATCGCACCTTGGGGAGTACGGGAGTATGAATAAGAAAATAGTAGTAAAAAAACTCCCATATTAGTGCTTTCAGCAGCACTGCTCCTCGTCCATAACCTTAGCAAGATCAGTTATCCGCCAGTGATAGCGATGAAACCATGTTACTCCTGCCCTATACTTACAAGTATATCTCCAATATAAAGGTAAATTTAAATAGTCCAGCAAAGTTCTGCTTCCGTTTTCCGCTTCAACAGCCAGCCCACTTTCCATTCATGCATACAATTATTCATTCATGAAAACCGTGTCTACATGAAAAAAAACGCCAATGACTGACTAAATTTTGACGTGTTGAAAGCAACAACAAATCATCGTCACACGAAGTATAAAAACCGCTAAGCCAAAACGATTAAGGGCTGAACGGGGCGAGGTTAACCTTTGAGTAATTTAATTTAATCGCTCCTTCAAAATAGATAAATATTATATTATCTGTGGCTTTGTAAAAGCTGTACACGCATAAGGTATGCGCACGTATGTACATAAATGTGCATGTAAATTTTATAGGAGTATGTTTAAAGGTTAATTTGTTTGTATGTATGTAAATACATACATACATACATACACACTTTAAGGGAGCTAATTATATACATAGTTCAATGTCCAAAGGAGGGATGAAGCTTCTGGTCAGGAGACTAAAAACCACACTGAACACCTTTAAACAAATATTCTGAAAGCAAATCTAAACATTGTTCCTATCATTATAACGTGTAACGTTAAACAATCTCAAATAAAGCTATTAGGGAATGCTTGGCGGACTTAATTGCATGCACTTTTAATGTAACTGTCATCTTAAAAACCCACAAGACCGTAGTCGAATTACACGTTAACCTAGAACTATCTTCTCGTTAGAAGCATACATACATACATAAATGGTTTAAGGATATGTGAGAAAACAATTTGAGGAAGCATTCTTGTGCTTAAAAACTTTATGGCGTGCGAGTGAACTTGTTTATAAGTGCAAAATACTCAATCTTGCCTATACCATTGTAAACTTATATTATTTGTAAAAAGTTGTATTCATACATATGTACATCGCTAAAACCCCACCTACACTTACGAGCTTGTTGATACGCCACTGTTCAGATTAGTTAACGTGTTGACATGCAAACTTGTTGACAACTCGCATTCAATCTTGGAGGCATTTTAAGTTGCATTGAGTACGCTATTTTCAAGTTCTTTTATTCGTTTTTATTTAATTCTAAATTTGTTTACCTTACGGCCGTTAATTTATCCGTTTTAAAGTATAGTTAGATCATTAGTTAAATTTAGCTGCACAAATTTATATTAACAGCTCTTTATGTAAATTATTTTAACTTAATTGAATATATTTAATTTAATTCTATTTCATGAAAGTTAGCATTATTTTATTTTAATTTATGTGTGTAATTTAATTTAATAATTATTATAATTTAATAATTAAATTGCAGTTAATATAAATTGGTTTAATTTAATTTTATGTAACTTTATTCAATTTAGTTCAATTTCGTTTCATTGAGTATAATTTTATTTTACTTTTAATTTAATTTGTCGTTAAACTTCAATAATTTATATTATTTAATTTTAAATAAATTTTACTTATAATATTTCTATTGAGCTTTGTACCACGATTGTTTATTAGGAAAAATTGAAAAAGCAACAAGGTCTAAGCGGTAGAAGTTATAGCACTATTTCGGAGATCACCACATCTCCTCATCAGACTTCTTTTTTCTAGACTTCAGCAGGGAAGTCCTGCTGCTGCTGTGGTGATCTCCGAAATAGTGCTATAACTTCTACCGCTTAGACTTTGTTGCTTTTTCAATTTTTCCTAATAAACAATCGTGGTACAAAGCTCAATAAAAATATTAAAAATAAAATGTTAACAAGCCACAATAACATTGACAAATACAAATTTTACTTAGTTTTATTTTATGTAATGTATGTAATTAAATTTAGTTTGATTTAAATTGATTTAATTCAACTTAAATTAATGTTATGTGTTTTACTTCAACTAATGTTATTTTATTTTATTTAAACTAGTTTTATTTTATTTAAATTCATTTCATTGCACTTTAATCTATTTACTAGTTTCATTAATTTCACAAACTCTACCATGTTTGAAATACCCCAAGTAGCGCATTGACTGTTCAAATCCAAATAATGCCCATGCATCCATATAAACATATATACACACATACATACATACTTCTGAAAACACCCTGCAAAAAGTGGGACTAGGTTAAATACTAGTACAGGACCACGGTACCTTGTAACCAACACTAGTAACGAAAATGGCCCAAATATATGGAGAAAATATGGTTACATTAACATTGCGATGTCAATGGACCTGACCACCTCTGGTCCAACGCTGCATAACATGGGACCACTTCTGGCCCAACGCTTTATAACATGGGACCACCTAGACAACTGCTCCTTTTGGACCATGGCACATTCGGCAGGCGAATCATATTGCCGATGGGCCACGAAGAGGTGGTGCTCAACACATATATAGGTTTTTTATGTTTGAAGTGGGCCAAGTAAGCATAACAAGTTACTAGTATGCAACCTGGTCCTTTTGCACATACTTTAAAACTACGACCAAGTGGACCTGGTCCTCAAATTTTTGCAGGGCACGTTTACACATACACATACATATATACATACTTGTTCAATGCACCAAAGATCGAAATAACCCAGCCAGCAAAAGTCCGAAAATGGAAAAAACAACAATTGTAATATATCTAATTGTAATTCCTTACGAATATTATTCCTTATGATAGTAGATTTACATTTAGACATTGTTTGCAAATCAAGTAAAATCTACGCACTCGACTTAATGAGATTAAATATCCGTCGTCGAATTGTGCGAAGAATTATCTCATGTTATTATGCGCTCCGTACCACGCTACAATTAGGAGAAGTCTCCGGGAATTTCCAACCTCACCTACGAGATTCATATTAGCTAAAACTGGCCTACCATCATTAGACGAAAGAGCCCCATATAATGTCAAAAGACTCATACCAATCTCATACCCCAAAGACATTTCTCCACGATGCAGTGAAAGACTCCGACATAGTTCGAAACCAAAGGGCTAGAAAATCTGCAATTGTAAGATGTGTTGAAGCCGCAAAATGTTGGATGTTTGTTCGTTCGCCCCCGTTGATTAGCTTTCGTAATACGCGAGTTATCTCGTCTCCCAAAAAATAGCACCCTTCCGTCTGTCTTCCGTAAGTCCTTCCTTCAACTGGCGCATACGTTCCGATATACGGAATGGAAATTCATTTACACTGATGGGTCCAAAGCTTTAATCACCATCGCATTTGCAGTGCCAGATGAAGAAAAGCAGACAATTGGCACGAATGTTCTGCATAATGGCTGTTCCGTGTTCACATTCGAGGCTGTGGCAATTCTCGAAGCTGTTAAATTTGCAATGGAAACAAAAGGGAAATACATAGTAGTATCTTCCAGCCTCTCTTCAATTGCATCAATCGTGAACGTACGAAAACAAAATCATTTGGTTTCAAATATACATAAGAAATTTGCTATTGCAATGCGAGAAGAGAATACAACTGATGTGGCATAAATAGAAACGAAGCCGCCGATCGATGAGCAAAGTTAGCCAAAGAAGACATTTTGAGGCAGATCGAGTCAGATACGGCATAAGAGGGAGAAAGCAACCGAGTAGGCAGAAGACCACATCTCCCGTACGACGAGTGATGTAATAATTTAAAATCGTTCATCCGCCTAAGGATTGGACATACATTGTTAACCCACAGTCATATATTCAAAAGACTAACTCCACCTTAGTGCCGATACTGTGGGGTATGCGAGCTTGAGAGCGTGAGAACAATCTGCTTCGACAAAATCAAGCCTTCAAACCTACTACAACTTTCTAGTTGTAACTGTATATTTTGGTTAAGAGATCCTAAGGCCTATGCTGCTCGTGCTCCTAGTCTTTAGTAAGTGAGTGGATTGATCCCTCGCTTTAAAATAAAAAAAAAAATACAATTACTGGTTTTAAATAACATCATCATTTTTGAGCGATTTTCCGGATACGAAAATGAAAGAAATTGTGGTGGTTTTCCGCTCTTTGAACGTTTTTTGGATACGTAAGTTAACGAAAAATGTAATTGTTTTCAGTTCGTTTCCGAAAACGGAAAAATGTACGACCCCGCACTGTCGGCAAAATTTATGTTTTACTGCTGGCTGGGAAGCGCTACGCTTATTTGGTGCAGTTAATTTCAAATCTAATTTAAATGTGAATGAATAGCTGTTGTTGTCCGGAGACTACTTACCTACTTAGTTTTAGCAGTGGTTGTTGTTAGTTGTTTTTTTTTCAACGATTTATTTGCCCATTATTTAAAAGGAACCACGAACACGAATCAACCAATTATGAACGAAAATCAGGCGAACTATTTACTTCAAAACACCCGTCAGTCATAGTCGGTAAACAACGTACAGCACTCGTTATCCTCTCGCCAGCGGAAATGTGCATAGTGAACAACTAATTTTCTCTTAGCATCCGCTTCAGGTTTGGGATGTTGATCTTATGCTAGCAAAGTATGAAGGCAGTATAAAAAAAAAAATCAAATACTTCTTAGAGATGACATCGAAAGTGACAAATGTCTCAGCTTCACAAGCAACAGCTTTAAAGGGTGTTGTACGCAATAGCAGTTATGTAATACCCGGCTTATACGATCTTAGTGTCGAGGACACAAATTGGGTGCTGACGTCATCATTCATCATTTTCACAATGCAAACTGGTAAGGTTTGGAGCAAAAAAGTGATTCGATATACATGCATATGTTCATACGAGTACATAAAAATTTGGAGATAAAATAATAAAATTTCAATATAAATTTGGAAATATAAAAGTATTGAACGTTTTAAAATCAATATTCCAAATGAGTAGTCCACTTGCAAACAGCGTTATGTGATTTAATAATAGTAAGCCACAAATTAAAAAAAAAACCTCTACAAGAACAAGCACCATTCAAATTGTATAATAACAATAAAAAACAAAATCGCAGTGCGGCACTTTTTGCAAATTTTATATATAAAAATTTAATATTGCGAGTTTTGAAACGGTAATTTTTACAATAGCTAGCTTTTTTTAGCTGTTCACGTTCTCTCTTCCAAGAAGGTTGGTCTGCTTCTTTTTTAAGACGTCTTCCACTAGGCACCGAAACCACCACGTTTTCTTGCAATTTTCTAAGTTCATCAGAAGGTGGAGAGTTTTGAAAGTGTATAAATACATGCATAAGTATCATAGCGACTTTTGCAAGAGTAGTTAACATTTAATGCTATTTTTTCAGAACATATAAGGATTTTGCACTGTATTGTTAGTGGACATGAAACTACTTTAAATACTGGTACGTTACCCACCAGAAACTAAAAATCGAAAAAAATTACCTAGCGCACTTTGCAAGTTGGCTACTCAAATGTTCATTTAGCAAAATAATTTAAATAAGGCAAAAATTTTGATATGTTGAGGTTATTCTTTATTTCATGGTGCTGATCTGAAATAAAGCTGCACCCGAAAACCCAACGAACGGCAAATGGGTTGTTTAGTGATACGAATAGAAATATGTCTTTCAAGATACGTGTATTAGAAATTTTTTCGTTTTTATTTGTGGTGTATTTCTAGTGGATAAGAAAATAAGCCTAATCACCGATTAAAAGAGGTGTACATATATAGCTAAGCGATGCGGAATAGTAGGGTTTCAATGAATCCAGTTACAAATGCTTATCTATACTAAATTCCCACACTTACGTCCTCGTTTACGCGCCTTAGCCAACGTGAGCAACTCGTGTAGAGCCACTGAAATCCACAGCGTCTGCTTACCATGAGGACTAGTTGCAAGCGAGAGTGTCGTAAGGCAAGCGGTTCGCTAATAGACAATGATTTGAAGTCCTCAATGAAAGTGAGATTTTTCGAACACCTCGCTTATTTGTGCCCATGCCCGAACGGAAGAGAAGATCGAGGCGTCTTAACTATAAGCGCTGTCGTCACCACGATATAAAAATGGTTTTAGGCAATCTCAATGCCAGGGTAGGCAGGGAAGGAATCTTTGATCCCACCGTCTGCAGCACCAGGTTGTAGCATACAAGAATTCATCAGGCTATGGTGAAATTGATAAGCTTGTGGGCGAAAAGCTGCAGGCAAGATGTGAGTGGATCGATCGACTACCTACCAGAGTATTTACAACATTCAAAAATATATTAAAGGCGGATTCATCGTTCTTGCTCAGAACTTCCCTTCCACGTGGTTGTTGTTGTGTTTCTCTGATCAAAGTTAAAAAAATTAAGAAAAATAGTGGCTCATTAAAATTTAACCGATGAAAACTCCCAACTAGCTAAATCCTACAACGTATATATACATCGTTTTAAAGGTCTATAAATCCTCCTTTCAAAACTTCTTCGATTTTTTAAATCGGATGGGAAATGGTCAAGCTATTAATAGATAAGTGCATCAAGTATGAAAATAATGGTTTTTTGCTATAAAAAAATTGGAGGGTTGTGGAACTATACGGGACCTATTTCCATGTTGTGCTCGACCGTGCCTTCAACCTACAGTAGGCTTTGTTTCGGGTGTATTTCATGACTTTTTTTTTGTAGCACCGTGTAATTGGCGCTTACACATATCGCACACGATCTTCAAAAGTGACACAACTCAAAGTTTGCCATTTTAGAAATTATGCACAAAAAATGCACACAGAGCCTTTATTTACCTTTTAGTAAAAGCTGGAGTAAAATCTTGTTATAATTTGTTGAAGAAACCTAAGGTAAAGTCCTCTTGCCAATATGATGAGCATGTGCTAAGAAATAGGTTTTCGCATTTTCTGGCGAACGTGTAATTTTTAGTTGTGTCACTTTTGAAGATTGCGTGAGATATGTTAGTGTTAGGCCGAGCTTGTACTTCCTACTTCAAACGCATTTATTTTCATTCTTTTTTTTTTGATTTTTTCATCATTTCAAACTTTCTTTTTTCTCCCCACAGGCTTTGGCATGCTAGAGTCAGGTTGTGTGTCAATTAAGAATGAGGTGAACATAATGATGAAGAACGTCATTGACATTGTATTGGGTGGCTTCACTTATTGGCTCTTCGGCTATGGCATGAGCTATGGACGTGGACCGCTATCGAATCCATTCATAGCGGTTGGAGATTTTCTGCTCGACCCACCGGTGGGCGATCCTTTGATGGGACAAATTTTCGCCGCCTTTCTCTTTCAGTTGTCCTTCGCTACGACAGCAACAACAATTGTTAGTGGCGCCATGGCGGAGAGGTGCGTTTATTAATTTTATATTAATTTTTATGCACTCACTTATACATATATTTATTAGACTGACCCAATTTTATACAATGACGCTATATTTTGAGGCTGATAGCTAAAAACTTTCGAATACTTGTGAAAACTCATCTGAACAAGTTTGGTTGCGAAATTCAAATATTAACCCGATTCGAGTCTCTGTTTTGTAAGATCTTTGGCTACCAAGTAATATTTTAGAGCGTATTGAAGGAGATGTCAAGGGTAGATTTTGTGGAAAATTTTCGCGCTTCCAGGCTAAATATATGTTTTCGGGGTCGCTGACTTGGTCAGGTGAATTTATACAAGTATTCGAAAGTTTTAGCTACCAGCAAAAAAAAATAACGACATTGGCCAAAATTGGGTCAGTCTAATGTTACGTATGGGTATACGTGCGCGATAAATATTGAGGCGAATGTTCGAAATCTAATATGCATACTGAACTGAGAACGATCTCATAACCTACCTTAGGTTGCCAACCAGGGTTGCCACTTTGGTAAATTACCAAAATTGGTAGAAAAAATTTGGGTTGGTAAAAATACATATACATTTTTTTCATTTTGGTAGTTTTTAGTTAGAGGATTTTGTTTGAAAAACAAGTAAAACTCTTCACACCCGCTTTATTTTTTGTAGTTACCTTTATATTATAAATTTCTTTCCAAAAGTATAGTCAACTTTATTGCATTAATTTTCGAACGCTTGCATTAATAATAATAATAGAATGGCGCTTACACATATGTTAGTGTTTGGCCGAGCTTTTCCTCCGATTTGTGGCGTGCGCCTTGATGTTGTCACCCAAAGGGGAGGGACCTACACTTTTACGCCCACTCCGAACGGCGATTGTATTTTTATGAGAAGCTGTTTTTCATCGCAGAAATACACTCCGGAGGTTTGCCATATTCTGCCGAGGGGTGACCACTGTTAAGCAAAAAATTGTTTTCTATATTTTTTTGCGATGTTGCTTTGACCAGGGCTTGAAACCAGGCGGCCGGTTGCATTACGTTTTTTATAGACAAGTAAAACGCGAACATATCGAGCTCAATTTAAAACTCATTTTTCTGGAGCTTTTGATTGCCTAAATATCTTGAATGATTCTTTAAGTAAAAAAAATTGACAGGTATTTAGTTAAAAAAATAAAGCCAGTTTTATAAATGACAATTTTTAAATTAAAAAAAAAACACAAAAGACCGGCGGCAAAAAAAATATATCAACGGGAATTTTTAGTTGCACATTGTTAGTTATAATAAAATTTAATGGGCTTTGAACCTATATACCCGAAAATGTTCTAAAAATTCAGAATACAAATTTTGGCTAAATTGTTGATTTCTTCTAAATGATTTTTATAGGTTTTGTTAAAGCGCAAACCATATTCTTATACAAAAGAATAGCAAAAAGATTTTACTTGAACAACATTGTGAATACATATGTATTTAAATTTTTTTTTGTCCTGTATTGGTCTATAATACTCCAGTTGAAGTTTTTTCAAATGATTTAATTTCGTTGTTACCTTTGGTTTCATAATTTTCGCATTTGGTTGAAGAAAACCGAGAAAATACCATTAATATTATCTCAGATACCATATCATTAGTTAAATAAAAGCATCCTTAATTTCGACAATGTGAAACGTTTAATTGTGTCACTTTTGAAGATCGTGTGCGATATGTATTCTCTCGCGCGTCCGTACGCACGGAAATTACGTTTTTTTTTCGCATTTTTCAAATGATGTGACCATCAGAATGGGCTGCTTAGATATTTCATCTATTTATAATGTTAATAATGTGCTGTCAAAATGACAGCCCATCTGAAGTATGTTGACTTATACTTGCAACAATGCACTTTCAACATGGACTGGCAGTACTGTAAGACCATCAGAATTGGCAGGCAACCTTGAATTCATTTTCAATACAGATCAACCGTCGACCCCACCTCTAAAATTGAGGGATATGTTCGGTATTGAAAAACGAAAAAATATAACTTAATAAATGGCGAATTCTCTATCTTTTGGTGGTATTACCAACTTCTGGTTTCGACTGGAAGTAGCTTCACATCAAACAAAAAAGTTAAAGAAACCCGATTTGACAGCTTTTGAGGGTGTCCGAAAAAAATGTACACCCCTGAAATATTCTCATAGTGAGTGTTCAAAATGGCTTCGAACAAATTGAACTTTTTTTGTGATACGGAACCAGGGTTTTCTGGTTTGTTAAGCGAATGCTCTTTCTATGTGCCAACTGCGCATATGAAATTTGCTAGTTAGAGATGAGGCGGGGACTAATTGATCTCCAATTACACGCGTAAGGGATAAGTCGAGACTAATTGATCTCCAATAATACCTGTATGAAAAATATCAACAACTTTTACGCATATCACCCACGTAAATACTTTATGAACATACATTGGTCATTTCCAAACAAAGTGCTATTTTTTGTCCCCCTTTTTAAATTTTATTATGGTGGTAAAAACAAAAATCAACAACAGAAATTTGTTTTATTGTAAGCCGTTTTATTTTGCGAACGGTATATTTGTCCCGGATCAGGTTATTGTAGCTGATTTAATGTAGTTTTTAAGAAAGTGAAAAGATTTTGAATCGAGTTATATTTGAACTAGTAAATTAAATTTAAGTGAAGCCGTGTTAAAAACCACTTTCCAACTTTACAAACATCATCACAAAATTTAAAAGCCAAATTAGGCGTGGATGAAACTGACGTACAGTGGAATACTTTATCTATATTTACGACTGATAATTACTACATACATTACACTAGCCAATACCCGCTTGCTTTGCGGCGCCTTAAAACACCTCTCGAACTGTTAAACAATCGTTCAAACGGTTTGGAAGCACGGCAGCAAATGGTTCTTAATTTTAAAAAATTATAGTAAATTAACTTTAAGTTGAAAAAACTCTACTTCGGTACCACCTATCGTGTCCGTTTTTGGTAGGTTGATTTCTCTTTATATCTGTATTACGCACACGTGCAATTTCAAGAAAATCGGACCATCGAAAAGGCCAAATATTCCAATCGGTTCAGCCCTTTTTCGTGATGGAGTAACAAACATACAAACTTTCACAGTTATAATGTTACTAATAGGTATAGATAGAATAGATGTCACGTCCATTTTTCCAATAATCTTCAGTGTTCTACATGAGCATGGTGTCAAAAATGCAGCATGTATAGGTGGTGCCACGCCCACTTTTCCAATAAGATATTTTCCTGTCGTAAAATGGAGCCTATATTTTAGGTTAGAGCTCCAGCAATACATTGGGGGGAAACTGCATTTAATTTAATGCATGGGTTTTATGGGGAAAACGACAAAAATTAGTAGTTACTTCGTAACTGGTAAGTTTCATTAATTTAATACATAAAGAGAAAAGTGCAATTAACCTTAACATTTGTACGCGTTTAGGCGTAGCCACTAAGTTAAGGCCAGTAGTGAAACATGACATGACCAATTTCTACTCTGAATACGTTAACATTAAAATGACTGATTTGACAAACGAACGGAACATAGAGAATCTAAATTTTAATCAACATTTCCTCTACCCTTCGACATTGCTGCTAGATCAGAGGTTCCCAAACTTATTTTTCTCGTAGACCCCTTTCAAAACTTTATTGGTTTCCGTGGACCCCCTGATTCTCATTTCTAACATATTCCAAAGCTCATCAAAAAATGTTAAGATTCAAGACTAAATTCGGAGTGGCAAAAATAAATATAAAATATTTCATTGTGTTCTATTTATTAAAAATAATGTGATCACACACTTGCAAGTTTTAAAAAATAGTGCTCGTAAAGCCATGAAAGAACTATCTCGCTCTGAGGAGTTATATTTTTTAAGAGCACTAAATAAACTCCTCACATGGTCGGCTTACTCATGAATTTGCATGTGATGTATTTATCAAATAGTTCATTTGTGTTGATGGCATATTTAATTGTATCGCTCCGAGTTTCAAAGTGATGCGAAAAATATTCGTCACTCGCATATTTAAAACATAAAACTTTAAACAACAAAACTGCAAAGCTTTTTATGCCATACTTTAAATTCAGAAACAAAAAAGAGACCGCATCTAGATAAATCGATGGTAAACAAACAATCAAGCAAGAAGCTCTAGAAGTAAACCACCTTCTCATCCTATTCAAAGCAGGATGGGCAAATGGAGTTGTAATTTACGCCTATCACAGTCAGGTGTTTGTGCCACGTGAAGGGACCAGTCAGCAGTCCCATCTTCTCAGACAGACCTTCTGAGATTGAAGGCAACATGAGTTTTGCCCACCTGCATCCACTCGATGGCTCCCAGTCATTGCTGAGCGAAGTAGCCACCCAGTTTCTGATGGTTGGCCTGGTCTAAGCCAACTCTGGCCAAAGGGTCAAATGTCTCATTTTCAAGCACTCCCGAGTGACCCAGAGTAAAGCAACCTCGGTATGTTTAGTAACATAATTTAGTCGGACATGCATTGCCGAACTAGTTTGGAAGTACTTAGAAAAAGGGCTGACCAATGCGTTAGGTGCAGCTTGGCTGTACCAGTAGACACGTAAACTCCTTTAACCCCACCTATTTTCCACCACGTAATCTATGGCTTTGGGGATTGCAAATACCTCAGTTTGGAAGACAGAAGCATCTTCCCTAAAAAAAAAAGTGAAACTTATCCCCATTTACTTCGAAAAATACCTGACCATATCCTGACCCTGCGTCAATTTTGGAGCCATCAGTGAAGATTCGACAATGTACGATTCGACAAGGTACGTGGGCTCAGTGCTGGAATTAAACCAGAATTCCCCCTCAGGGAACTCTCTCTCTAGAATCTCCTCAACAAAGGTAATAGTGGCGTACTATCCTGTAGCATTGAAAAGAAACAAGTGTTGAAATATCTGCCGCCGGCAATTTCCGCATCGCCTCACTCAGTGTTATACCAACGGTAAGTTCAGCAGTGCGTCAAGAGCACTATGCATCACTCAAAAAAATTAAAGTTAAATAAATAGGCCATAAATAAGCAACCATTTTGGTTATTTATTATCGAAACGAAATGAATTTTAGTGGACCCCCACTTACAACTCATGTACCTCCATATTTTTTTCACGCCAACGTAGACCCCCGTCGAGTCTCCCGTGGACCACTTTGAGAGGTTAGCATCTTCGGAAATTATTTATTTCTTTCAAATAGTAACTGTGCAAAGAAAAGTATTTCCCTACCATACCTAGCATGTAGAAACGATATTGTTAAAAACTTCAACAAATTTTAAAGTATGTCAGACCTGATTGTAGTCTACTACATAGTTCAAATATAAGCAATTCAAAATCTGTTAGCTGTTTTAAAAACTATATTAAATTAGCTCCAATCTTAAATATTTTTATTTTTAGAAAAATTGCTACTATCTGGAAAATTCCTTCAAATAAATTTTAAAATTCGTGAAAAATAACACCATATAGTCATTTTAGGCCGCGTGGGTAACTTTCTGGTTAGTTGTACTAAAAAACTGAGTACGCCATTCGCTTTAGCGGCTTATTCTTCATGTTGTTGGGATATCTTTTTCTTCTTTCTTATGCAAGATGAACGTTTTTTGATATATGGACCCAAACCTACAGCAAAACAGTCTTATAAATATCACGGATTTCGGAGTAGCTCATCCAGTTTTTCCAATATTGAATATTTTTTATCAATTTGTAAAGTTCTTAGGGTCTTATTTTCATATTCCCCTGCCGTAGGCAGGATCTGAACTACTTTAGCAAAATGTATGGAGAAAATAAGGCATCTAATGTACATATGTATTATTATTATATGTATTTACTTTACTTAAGTTAATCTAACCTCAACTTTCCAGATGTAATTTTAAAGCGTACTGTTTATTCTCGTTGTTAAACACGGCTGTCTACTGCATACCCGCCGGTTGGGTTTGGGGTGAGCATGGCTTCCTCAATAATCTTGGTGCTGTGGATATAGCCGGAAGCGGGCCGGTACATTTAATAGGTATGTACATATGTTTGTATACTATAGTATATATGAAAATTGGTATATAAGCAGATAGATTTATAAGTACGTAAATACAATGTAATACAATATGGGTATTCATGGAAACGCGTAAATCCACGAAAATAAACCGATTTTCCACACAAATTAAGTAAGTTTACGAGTTTTACATTTTTACGAAGTATTTACGCGTTTAGATGAATTGCGCTAATATTAATTTGCTTGTTATGCACATACACTGGTGGTCCGATAATAAAAAACGATTTGCTTTTACAAGTTTTGACCATTTATTTTTATTTATTAGTTTTCACTTATTTTTTTAGGAAAATATAGTCATGCTACAACGAAAATCATATAACTCAAAGTTTTAAACTTTTTAAAAGATTTATAATAATTCGACATATTTAAAAAAATTGCAATAAAAATTTCAAAATGTTTAATCAGATTTTCGGGTATCTATGCAGTTTTATAGCCAATTTAATTTTAGCATAATATCGTAAAGTTTGAAATAGCCCAAAAATCTCGTTATTCGGATTTTTTATATACATACATAACATATATATATATGATTTTCGTTGTAGCATGTACATACTAAAACAAATTATTTTTAAGCAAAAAACTAATTTCATCACAATCCAGTGATCGGATCTAAACCAAATTAGTATGGGACCACCTCTGAGGCACCACCTTTCCTTTAAGAATAATAGAAATCGGTTAGCGTGGTCCAAAGTTATGCGGTAACATATGTATGTACATAAAAAAAGTAAGTGCGCCTGGGCCACACTTAAGAAGTGAAACTTAAGTTACATATCTAGCTTACATCTTTGTTTTTATCTTTTATATCTTTGTTTTTTGTCCTTTTCTTCATTTACATATTCTCCTAGATGATGTGCGGCGCGATGACATGATAAGATGCCATGTGATATAATGTTAAGTGACGTTATAGGATGTCATGTCATGCCAAATGATGTCATATCATGTAATGATCTGTCATATGATGTCACATCATGTGTATCGATAGTAATATCGATAAAAATATAACAGATAAAGTTATCGATAACAAATTCTAAAAAAATGTAGATAGCAAAATCAAAAACCAAATCGATATAAATTTCGATATCAAAATCGATCAAGATAAAAAACTCGATAACAAAATAAATAAAAATATCGATAACAAAATCTATTAAAATATTGATAACGAAATCGATAAAAATTTCGATACCCAAATCAATAACAAAATCAATCAAAAATATCGATAATAATATCTATAACAAAATCGATTACAATATCGATAAAAATATCGCTAAAAAAATAGATAAAAATATCGATAACAAAATCGATAAAAAATATCGATATCAAAATCAATAACAAAATCGATAAAAATATCGATAGCAAAATCTATAAAAATATCGATATCAAAATCAATAACAAAATCGAAATCAATAAATATATCGATAAAAACATCGATACCCAAATCGATAACACAATCGAAATAGTTCGCAGGTTGAGTCTCTATCTATTTCCTTTTCTTTATAATTACCTTTATTTTAATCTTTCTTCCTCTATCTGCATATTTTCTTTTTTCGGTATCCTAATCCTCGCCCTTTTCTTAATATTTTTTTTAATCTACATACATACTCCCCTCCACCTTTGCCCTTATACAAATGAGTAAAAAGTTTAAATTTACTTCGATATTCATTTTTGCTTTTATCTTTACGCGTCTTTGTTTTTATTTTTACCTTTATCCTTTTCTTTATCTATTTACGTACACACCTTTACTTTTATTCTTGTATTGGTCTTATTCTTTAACCTTTTATTAGCAAGTTTTTGTTAAATTAATACCATTTGCATATATTTAAGAAGCACTCGATTCCGTCCCAACCATTTCCGTGTACAACTTCCGTTGCACTATTTCCGTGTGCAATTTCCGTTGAATTTGCTAATTTATTCCCAACCAACCAACCGCCGCTAAAGAAGTTTCACTTCAAAAATAATAATAATATTGTGACGAATTCATAACCTCCTCCTTTTTTTAAGTCGGTTAAAAATAAATTAAATCTAATAAATAACAAGTAAGAAAGTCTAAGTTCGGGTGGAGCCGCACATTAAATACCCGGCGCAAGTACATATTAAATATATGATTTTACCTTTCCGAAAGCTACCGCTACATGGTAAGCCGGGGTGTATCAATTTTGAGTAATTTAGCGCCCTTAAATTTCGAAATATTGAAGTTTCAAGCATTTCTGAAAGTTACCGTTATACGAAAATCGGCCTCTATTTTAGTCCGATTTCAATAATTATCAATCGTTTGCTTTTATGTGATAATACCATGCCGAGTTTGATACAAATTGGTAGAACGGTTACCGAGATACATATATGTGATCATAAGTGGACGGTGCCACGCCCATTTTCCAAAATTTTATCATAAACGTATTTCTTGGCAAAGAATTGTTGCAAGCCTCAATTTTGAATAAATTAGCTTTAATAATTACTGATTTATCGAAGATTTCGTATTTCTCCAAATTACCGTTATAAGGGATGTGGGTGTGGATATTGTCCGAGTTTAAAAAATTTATGTCATTTGGTATGATGTAGCAAGGCTAACAACTGTGCCAAGTTTGGAAGAAATTGGTGCAGTGGGAACCAAGATATACACATGTAACCATAAGTGGGCGTGGCTACGCCAATTTTCCAAAAAAATATAATATTCTTATTTTTCGTCTACGAATTATTGTAAATATCAATTTTGAGTGAATAATCTTCAGTTGTTGCTAAAATATCGCAGTTTTCGTATTTCTGAAAATTACCGTTATATGGGAGGTAGGCGTGGTTATTGTCCGATTTTGCCCATTTTCAATACCATCCGTCCTACGCCCGAAAGAAGTGCACGTACCAAGTTTCGTTAAGATATCTCAATTTTTACTCGAGTTATCGTGTGCACAGACGGACTGACGGACGGATGTATACATTTGTATATCTATCTCGATTCGTTTTGCCTGTTACAAACAACCGTTATGTGAACAAAGTTATAATACCCTTGTGCACAAGTGCGCTCGGGTATAAAAATAAATGATCAAAACTTGTAAAAGCAAATAATTTCTTATTATCGGGTCACCGTGTTCGTTCCTATAGGAATTCATCCTGTTATTGAAACCTTCTGTACGTCACCTAAGTTGCTGACATATACCTTGTTTATACCAATCTAGGAATGGCATTTACAATAAACCGATTCAAAAGTTTATACCTCTGTCTTTATAGCGCCCTCGCTGAAACCGTCTTCAAAGTAAAGAAAATTTGTTGTTTTCTTTCGATATTTCTTTAATAATTAATTTGCGCTATTGACTGAAATGGAAAAAAATCGGTATTAATAACAATTCAAATTTAAAGCGGGCTGTATAAAGGATACCAGCTCCTTTTCACTTCGCGTCAAATGAGTGATGTGTTTATCCTTGTTTTCTAACCGATGTGAGAATTAAAACACCGATTTGAAAACAAAATCGAGTCAATACACTTTTGAATATCTGAGCGTATTGAAATTTGGTATATGCTTCCGTTTTTAATCACATACCTTGTTTATACCCATGATTCAATAATTAGCTCCCTTACAAAAGCTTTGCAAACAACAACAGTAAACAACTCCTTTACTTTTATTCGATATTTATTTAATAATAAATTTGCGCAGTGGAACGAAATGGAAGCGAACAGCAATATATTTTATAATTTAGCCAATTCTGATTTTGCGTTAAATGAATTATTCGTTTGTACGGGTTTTCTAACCAATGTGAGAAATAATTCAGTATCACTCTTTTTATTATGAGATACGTCTCGTTTCCCTCTTCAGCTCGCTATGTCAATCTCGGACATATGTAAATTGCGTTGCGCCTGATCTCAGCGTCCACTGTGAGCGGCATCCCTTTCCTCTGCATCAGAAGATACCAAGTTTTCCGGATGTGGAGTACTAACTTTTTTATTGTATATTGTTTTCAGGTGGTGCCGCCGCCTTCGCTTCTGCGGCTATGTTGGGTCCGCGTCTGGGGCGCTATTCAGACGGCTATGATCCTCTCCCGCTCGGCAATCCCGTGAATGCATGTATGGGCCTGTTTGTACTGTGGTGGGGATGGTTGGCCTTCAATTCGGGTAGTACTTATGGAGTGAGTGGTGCCAAATGGCAATATGCCGCACGTGCCGCTGTTATGACTATGATGGGCTCATTCGGTGGTGGCATCATAAGTTGCGCGTAAATCTACTTAACTTTATTTTATTCGCTATGCTTGCAAACAATTAACTTTGCATTCTCTATTTACAGATACTCACTTTGGCGTCACGATGGTCGCATGGACATCATTGATCTGATTAACGGCGTGCTTGGCTCCTTGGTTTCCATAACGGCTGGCTGTTTTTTGTATCGTGCTTGGGAAGCGTTAATTATCGGAATGCTGGGCGCACTACTTTGTGTTGTCGCAATGCCATTGTTCGATCGACTAGGCGTGGACGACCCGGTAGGTGCGAGCTCTGTTCATGGTGTTTGTGGAATTTGGGGAGTCATTGCTGTTGGATTATTTGCCGACAATCCTATTCCTCTCGAAACAACAAAAGGGCGTTCAGGCCTGTTCAAGGGTGGCGGATGGTATTTAGTAGGCATACAGAGCTTATCGGCCCTATGTCTTGCCTGCTGGGGCATCTGTTCAACATTTCTACTACTCTATATTGTCAACAAATTTGTACCACTTCGCATGGATCCCAATGAAGAGTTGCTAGGCGCAGATTTGATGGAACATCGTATACGCCACTCCCAAATTGGCTTATCGCGCGCCATCTCAGCACTGGCACCAATTAAGGTGGATCTCAATGAATTCGCTGGTGTTCAGCCTATTGGTCTTAATCCCGGACATGAGAAAAGTATCGAACAATTACGCGCAGCAGATAATAAATTATTGCAATGGCAGCAATATCTCGAGCAAGTGAGTCCAGATCTGCCCAAACATGTGCAAGAACAATTTGCCGTCGAAGAACAAAATATACTGAAGAAGATTCACAATTCAACCGATATCAAAGCACAAACTGTAGGAAATATTTTTAGTCGCAAACTTAAATCAGTACATATCAGCAAGGATCTGGATCGTAATGTACACACAGAAATAACACATGGGTTCTATAAACCGAAGAATAACGAATTACCGGTGATTTCAACGAAGAAAATGGACAAGGATAGCAACTTCGCATGGGTCGATTAAGGAGCCGGAATAGCAAATGTTTGTTTCGAGAAGGGATTTTCAATTAAATCCTAAATGTATTCTTTTTTTTTCTCATGGTGATTTCGTTTCTTTCAAAAAATTTTGCCCTTTAATCCTGCAGAACATGCCCTTTTAGTTCTGACTTCTTGTTCTTGTCTAGCTCACACATTTCATAATATTGCCGTTTTAGGGCAACTTTCTCCCCTGACAAAGTTGCAAAGGGCACAGAATGTGCATTTTTTGCCTTGCAAGAATGTAACATTTTAAGAAACGAACACAAAACTTGTACACCGGTTGCCCTTATTTTAGAATCGAACACGAAAGGTAAAAACCAATCAAAAGGTGAAATTTTTTGTTAGAAACGAAAACACCATAAATATAAATAGTACAGCGGCCTTTGAATAAAGTTTTCGTAGAACAGAAATATGTACGCGTACAATTCTTAATTGACTCTCTTTTTCTTCTCCTTATTTGGCGCTGTAACCGCCTAAGCGATTTTGACCCAGTTCGTTTCTCTTCTGTGCCAACTGACTCCAATTGGAAATATCTAGTAAAGCCCAGTCCTTCTCCAATTGTCTTTCCATTGCAGAAGGGCCTCCCTCTTCATCTGCTACCACCAGCGCGTTCCGAGTTGGTATGCTTCAAGAGCCTAGAAAACCACAAAATGGTGTGATAATACTCGTTCGAAACCCACTCAGTTTTAAAACGTTAACTAACAAGGCTATAGACAAAAATCTTTGGTTTATAGTTATTCAACTCAAACACTGTGACACCAGGTGGCAGCTCGGGGTAGTTTATCACTCCCCATGCTCAAGTGATGCGGAATTTGTGACATATATGGAGGATATCTTAGCATAAATCTCAGAAAATTCTGTGAACACTGTTGTCATTGGCGATTTTAATATAAACATGAACGTAGTATCAACCTACAGCAGAAAACTCATTGATGGATTCTCACAAGAAGCTATGAAACAGCTGACAAATTTTAATACAAGGGTGACGGAACATTCGGAAACACGTATCGACTTGTTTTACTCTAATGATAACCGAGTTTTATGCGAAAAGGTCGAGGATCATGGAATATCAGACCACGAAATAATAATGTTTCGACTTAATGTCAATAAGCTAAACCCACTTCCTAAGGAGGCAGAAGTAATATCCTGGGAGAGATATAACCCTGACAACTTAACGAGTTTACTAAGGCAGTGTAATTTCTCGAACTTAAATTTTTTCGATGCTGACGGCATGCTGGAGTATATTACTCATTGCATTATGTGGTCCATGAGGCAGTTGACATACACAAAAATAACTCGCATTAAGCAGAGGAGAAGCTCGGCCAAACACTAACATATGTGTTAGCGCCAATCTATTATTATTATTATTAAGCAGAGGAACAAATGGTATGATAGGCAATTGACAGAGATCAACAAGTATAAATCCCATAAGAATGCAGTGTTGTCAGGGGACTGGGGTGAATATAATATATAAGAAGCAGGTATAAAAAATGGTAAGGTGTAAAAAAATAAATACTTAGAGCATAAGGTGGGAATAAATAAGGGTGACAGTCGACTCATGTGGAAATACTTAAAGGAGGTTGTGAATAATGCGAAGGTCAAAAAAAATTATTGGGGAAGTAATAATAAATAACACCAACTACGTAGACAGCTTTGAAATTGGGGATAATTTAAATAATTTTTTCGTAGACAACATTTTGGAAATACATACCAATTTAGAGTGTGTAAACTATGCCTATTTCGAGGAACGAACTTCCACACGTACGCTAAAATTTTAAGAGGTCTCAACGGAAGACATTATTCAAAGTGCCAAAAAATTTAAGCGGAAAATTGGGGAAAACAACCTACTATCTGAAGGTGTTATTAAGGACTCTGCTGATTATATGGGATATTTCTATGCCTTACTAATAAATAAGAGTATCCAAACTGGAACAGTACCGGAAGAATATTTCGCCAATAGTGCCCGTTAGGAAAGTTAAAAAACGGTTAAAGCTGAGGAACTTAGGCTCATCAATACTCTCCCTAGTTTGGAAGAAATGCTACAAACCGTTTCCATTTTTAATAGAATAAACTTTTTTCCAAAACATATCAACATCCAGATCGCTGGAAATATCAAGCTCACTTAGCCTCATACCCACTGCCTAGGTATTATATCATGATCGCAATATATTAGATGGGGAAACTTAACAAAAGAGGTAAAATTGGTTAATATTCTTTAGAAATTACCTTAGCTGGTGTCATTATTTATAAAAGTTTTATATCTTCACGCTTGAAGTTAAATCTTAAATTTATTTTGTCCAAAAACTCTATGTAAAACTTTAATATGTTGGTTTTAACTTTAAGTATTCCCGAACAATTGACATTACTTTTCATAAACATCTCCGCTTTCGTTCCAACAAAAATGTCAGATATTTTAACATGATTATTTTAATTTTTAAAATCAACATTAATATGGGATACTCTTTATGAATTTGTACAACGATTTTGGGTTGCTGTGCCCAAACGCGTGAATCGAATCAAAAAACTTTTACACACACTTGTAGACAACAGTTCACGCTTTATTACAAAAATAAAATTTACTATATCTGTGCACTAATTTATTAATAATGTCGGTTGGAACAATGGTATTTTTTGAAAGTTTCTGAGCTGAGTTGTCAAAAAAATATCCACGAAATATCTCTGCAAAAGGTGTTCAGCCCCTCTTCTTTAGTAAAACAGAAAGGAGAATTATACTTAGTGAGGGTTATAATCCCTAAGCACGGCCGAAGGCCGCCTACGCAGAAAGTTGTTTTCTGCAAAAGTTGGTTAGCCCCTCTTCTTGGGCAACAGAGAAAGGAGTACTGAGGGTTTTGGAAAAAATCAAAATTTCCGCTGTTTTCAAACAGCTCCCAAGGGGTCTTTAGGGGGGGAGGGCGGTAGGGGTGACTTTTCATAAAGCGGCGTTCATCCTCTTTCGTTTAGGGGGGTTTGGGGAGCCACGCAACCTTCGAAACAGCTGATCACTTGCACAGTTGCCACTGGTGATTAATTTGGCAATTTATTTTCTGCTTAGTACATTTTCGCTGATTTGGCATTTTATACAATTGAATAGTTTTGGCCAATTATACAGCCATCAATTAAAGCTACTAATGCTATTACAATGAATCAATTAAAATTATTGTAACAAGAGTTTTAATTAAAAATTTTAATAGTAAATTTGTGGAAAAATTGCTTCATTTGCTATAAAATTTGTGATTCACACATCGTCATATTAAACTAATCAATATCTTGAAATTGGCGTTTTTGTTTACCATCTATAATTTTTATTGCCTGATAAAATTTTATCAGAGGCAATATTTGTGTGTGCATTTTTTATCTTGATAAAAGCATTTGTAAGATGACTCTTTTTGCCGGATTTCATCACTTAAAAAAAAAATATTTTAATAGAAAACAGCTAAATTTTTGCTTTTATATTGAAATATCAATAATGTTGTCTCCACGAAGCTATCACGCAAATGAAAATTTAGCTGTCAAAGTACCAAATTGCTGGAAATATTTATCAAGCTCTGATAATTATTGCTTGCCAAGAGCAATATGCGGTCTCCATGGGCAAAATTTTGCCAGATAACATTATCAAGATAAAAACTTTTGCCTGTGCCAGAAATTGCACAATTTCGCAATTCTAACAACTGATTGTACTAAAGATGAATGGAAAATAAGAGAATCGAGATCTCAGAATCGATCATCATCCCAGACATCTGGAAGGTGGGGAGAGTGGTCCCACTGCTCAAACCGGGGAAACCAGCAAACAAAGGAGATTCGTATCTACCGATAACACTCCTTTCCCCGGTAGCGAAGACACTAGAGGCTTTGCTTCCCCCGTATTTCACGAACCATCTGACCCCAGCGAAGCATCAGCACGGTTTCCGTCAAGTGCACAGTACAACAACACTTAACGCCATAAACACTCAGATAACTTGTGGCCTTAACCGTAACCGTTCCTGCGAGAGAACAATTCTAGTAGCGTTGGACCTGTCAAAGGCCTTTGACACCGTCAGCCATTCCACGCTACTATAAGATATTGAGGCTCAGAGACAAATCGAGCAAACTCAGAAAAATAAAACAGGGGGCTCCACAGGGTGGTGTCCTTTCCCCGCTACTACGAACTAACGGACGAAGTCCAGAGGTTCATTAAGCAGCCTCTGGACCCGTCAGCATATCGACAGGCCCTGAACGGCATTCATAGGGAGTCAGTCTCGAGTTATGTAGACTCCAGAACTGTGAATGCCGTTCTAGGCACACAACCACCGGACATTGACGAGACGGACCTTCATCTGCCTCGGGAGACAAGAACCACAATAGCCCAACTTCGCTCTGGCTACTGCAGCAGGTTAAACTCATACCTGAGCAGATTAAACGCAGATGTGCCAAATGAGTGTCCGGTATGCGGAGGGACCCCTCTCGACTCGAAACATCTCTTCGTATGCCCGGAAAACCCTACAACCCTAACGCCTTTGTCCCTGTGGACTGACCCTATCGAGGCTGCACGCTTCTTAGGGTTGCCGTTAGTGGAACTTGACGACAACGACTGAGATACCAACCGATCTGGGCGGGGTTGTTGTAGCCGCTACAACAACAACAACAACCGGCATGCCGTTTTAATCCTCATTAAATACACAATATGGAAATAACACAAGTAGGCGAGTTGATAAGCAGGTCTAATATTCTAATATATATTAGGAGTGGGATTTTCAACATCGATTTTTCCGATATCGATATTGTTCAGCCCGATATATCGCCATATCGATTTTATATGCAATGAATTAAATCGATTCATGATATCGATACTTTCTAAAATCTCGAAAATTCCTAACTGGAACAAACTAATACCATGTTCTAACCGACAACGAAAACACTTTGAAAACGAGTTTTGGAATTGTGGGCTGAAGGCTGTTCACACCGGCTGTTAGTGTTTTCGTTAACATTTCTTACATCCTCTGATTGCAGTTTTGCTACACAAAAACAAAAGCAAAATACTTTTCCCACATTTTCTTGTCATTAGCAACTTCTTGCTTTCATTCTTATTTTAGTTTGGCGAGCAAATTAACAATAAATACGATATAGCGTATTAAAAATGAGAAAATACGACTTCCAGTTCGATAAATAATCGAAAAAAACTAGAGAAGACACCGATTGGAATGAGTGGAACGTGAGTTTTCAAGTAGTTTTCAGCGTTTCGTTTGACAGATTTTACACGGACGAAAACACATGTTTTAGGTCGAAAACCAGTTTTAGCAACGAAAACATGTTTTCGATGTCGGTCAGAACATGGTATAAGAGCAAAAGGAGAACAGATGCAGAAGCGTACGGGAACGCAAAAAGCACTATTTCCTGTAAAAACGTCACTCGGTTCGTTTACATGCCACTGCAAGGCGCATCAATTACAGGTGATAGCCATAGAAGCCATGCTTCTTCTTATGAGCACGCTTGTGTCAAATAATCGCCTGTTTTGCTTTGTTTACATATCCGCATATATTTAAACATATACGTAAATATATATACCCTGCAAACAAATGCTCCCGAAATCTTTAAGAGTATCGGAAATTTATTGATTCTTTTAGGAATCTTTAAAGAAAAACATATGAAGCGGTTGACAAGAAATGGTAAAGAAATTTCTGTACGATATCTTAAAGAAAATTCTTAAAAAAAAAAGGGAAACCTTTCAGAATTCTATGAAATCCTGGTATGCAGGGTATACACATACATACGAATATGAATAGATAAAGAAGATGTTGATGACACAAGGAGTTCATACCAACGGTAAATGTTGTTTTTGTACGATTGCTACCTGTAGTTATTGAATGATGATGCCATTGGTACAACACTGCTTTGCAGTGTTGCCAACTTTTGATTTTCAAAAAGCAAACTTGGAAAAAAAGCGTTTTACCACACTAAAAGCACCAAATGGTTTTGAATCAATGGATGCTTTTTTCATAACAGTTTGTATGTATTTAACAAAAACAAAAATTAACAATATTTACAAGAATGCATACATAAATCAAAAAACACAACTTTTTCGCTCATAACGATTGAAAAGTCACATGCTATAATGACTCACAACGTAATACCGAAGAACTGCACATAAAAACTGATATATCTCAAGAAAGAAAAATCGAATTCCAACAAACGAAAATCATGCCCTAAGTAGAAATGACCAAAAAACAAAATTTTGTTTTCATTATATAACCTCAAATATCGCCAAAAACCGCGATTTTGGCACTTTGAGGTTAGGATATCTCAAAATTCTAGTGCTAGAGCAATTGTGAGGCCAGATTTGGATTCAGCACCAAGAAACGATGGCTGCGTTTCTTTATTCATTCTGAATGTTTGGAATAAACTTTTTTGTTTATTTATTCTTTAGAACGTTCCTGATGATATGTTGACGTATATTTCAAACGCATTCTGTTTATTCCGGCTGTGAAATGGGATTATCCGGAATGTATAAAGAAACGCAGCCGATGTGTTTTACTCAGGAGGTACAAAAATAAAAATGTTTACAAATAATTGGAAAAAAAAGAATTACTTAACTTACTCGCATATCTACTAGCATTTTCAACGCGAATAGAATTGAACAAGGTGAGTTTGCAAGTTCAAGTATTTGTCATTCATGGTTGTATTTAAGTACATTTAGATTTGTAGATTTTTGTAAATTCAGTGCTGCCACAGCTTTAAATATTTAAAAATTATTTCAGGTTTTAGCTATATCGGAGTCATTTTAGTTCAGAAAAAAAGCACTAAAAACGGCACTAGGCACTAAATAATTTTTTTTTGGCGTTTTAATTTCCAAAAAGCACTAAATCTAGTGCTTAAAGCACCAAGTTGGCAACTATGCTGCTTTGGCTGAAATATCACTATATAATTCTTGAATCTGTACATATGCTTGAATAACGTAATTAAACTAGGAATATTCTCCAACATGTGTAGTCTGTAAGAATTTTCCTTCAATGACTTCAGTAATTAATAATTAAATAAATTTCGCCGTTTACTTCCATTTGTTAACAAATATAAGCTTCTTTGCTTTCACCGCGTTCTGTTTTAGTTTACAAATGCAACCTTGTCCATCGTTTGCCACTTTTCATGAACCTACAGGAAAAACTCCGGACTAAATCCTGTAACTTCTGACAAGGAACACCTGCTCAGTTGCTAAGTTGCTCTCTCAAAAGTGTTCCCACTTGCAGGTTTTATGTCTATATAGGAACGACTTCCTGTAAGTTCTGACTAAATCCTGTAAACCGGACTGCTATTGGAACAGACTAAGTATGTCGGGGCTATAGTGTTAACCATTTATCATTAAACAGATAAAGTTCCGCGGAAAAAATAAACGAAACTCATTACCTTTGTCATGCATTTCTAAACCAAACAAGTAATTTTTAAGCAAAAAACAAAACCGACTTCAATTCTCATATATATATATATACAGTAACGTGCAAAACTGTAAATGGTGTAAAACTTTTTACCTCAGCCATCGCTATCTTTCATACTTTTGTTCTCTCATAACGATTTGAAGTCAAACAACAACAATAAAAAAACCAGCAGAAAAATGTAAATTAAGGCAGATGTTACAGTTTTGCACACATATATTTTTAAGAACTTTTTAACAATTTCCACGAAAAAAAAGAACTACAAACACAATGTTCAGCACTCTTTTGCTTGTTTCAGTTCTTGGATGCGATTTGGCATACCTTATTTGTATCTCTGTAAAAATTCTGGAGGTATATCCTTAGTTTGCTTTCACAGCTCATGTACTCGATTTCACGGACTTTGATACTTATTAAGCTGTGCTTTTAGTTGATTTCTGAAATTCTCGATGATAATCATGTCCGCAGATTGTGGAGGTCATTACAAATTAGCAAATTTATGCTTTTGTATCCAGGCTTTGCGAACATGTGCAGTGTGTTTTGAGTGATTTTTCAGCAGAAACTCATTTTTTCGACTACATCTTGCAAATTTTGCTGAAATATGAACAGATACTGTTCCTTACGCATAATGCGTACTAACGGACCAAAAAAAAATTTTAAAAACAACCCCAAAATATTATTGACCGACCACTGTGATTCACCATTTGCCTTACATGATGCGCATGGGCTTAATTTGGGTCTTTGACCTAATGCCATGCCCGGCCATCTGATTGAAAGCGATTAATTAAGTCTTGTCAGACCAAATAACCTTCAATTGAAACTTAAAAATATGTTTTTTATTGCATTCTGAACGGCCTAACATATCCCAATAGGCAACGGTTAGGTTTTCGTGCGAATGTATTTTGATAAAATTTGCTTTTTTCTTCTTTATCAATTCAATTTGGCAATTCTTCGCCTCGCTGTCTATTGATTTGCGTTAAAGTTTAATACCTTAAGCGCTTCTGTAATAGTGGCTGCATCGCTACTTGCCGCTCAGTACACAAGATATCGTACCGTAATATTTTTTGACAGACTCCCTTTGTCCTTGGGAACACTTTAGGCTATATTATTTCTCAGTCTTAACATTTTCAAGTAGCAAGTTCCACAATTTTTTGCCACATTTATGATTCCTGATTAACTATATTATTTACTGGTGATCACATCTTCAATAAATTACAGTATAGAAAAAAGTCATCTGACTTCCAACTAACTAAGAGATAACTGTCAAATGCAAAACTGAGAGTGAGTGCAAAACTTAAACATCTGCCTTAATTTACATTTTTGTGTGCCGGTTTTTTATTGTTGTTGTATTGACTTCAAATCGTTATGAGACAAGAATATACAACAAAAGGATGAAAGTCGTTAGAACTTGGATATATAGCGGTGGCTGAAATAAAGTGTTACGCCATGTTACAGTTTTGCTCGTCACTGTATACATATATATATATATATATATATTTCATGATCCAATGATCGGATCTAAACCAGATATATAGTATAAGGCCACCTCTGAGACACTACCTTTCCGAATTATCGAAATCGGCTGACGTGGTCCAAAGTTATGCGGTAACATACATAAAAAAAATATATATATATTCCGACGAACTGATAACCTCCTCCTTTTTTGGGAGTCGGTTAGTAAAACTAAAAACCGATTTCTGTTTTGAAACATTCGCTATATTTAGAACTTGTTGCTTGGATATTTTTTGTTAGCATACATACATATGTATATATGCTTGCAATACTATTTCAGATACTTTTTTAAATTACTAAATTAGCAGATATTTTCTTTTCTATGTATGTAGGTAGTATGTACTGTAGTATAAGTTACATTTTCAAACGGTTCAATTGGCAATTTCTATATATGGTATGTATTAAAGTAGTACAATGTTTTTGACAGCGTGTTTCTATGTCATAAATTTAGGCAAAAAGTGCATACAATTGGAAATATTTTTGATTTCGCTAACTTTGTTTTTTTTTTAATCAATTCAGAAGAGGCAGACTAAAAGGAGAATTAAATTTGTTTGGTGTTTATCTTGTTAAATCGCTGCGAATAGTTTAATCGACTTCTTCGATGGTTGGGCCAGCACCGGCACCAGCTGCACCGGCACCTGGAGCACCACCAGCTCCTGGGAAACCACTGGGCATACCGCCGGGCATACCACCTGGAGCACCACCGGCACCCTGGTACAATTTGGTAATGATTGGATTGCACACGGATTCCAGTTCTTTTTGACGGTGCTCATATTCTTCTTTCTCAGCCAGCTGATTGGCATCTAACCATTTGATGGTTTCGTTACACTTGTCCAAAATGGTGGTGCGATCCGATTCGGAGATCTTAGTCTTCATGTTCTCCTCATCCAAAGTAGCCTTCATGTTGAAGCAGTATGACTCCAAAGAGTTCTTGGCAGCAATTGTCTCCTTTTGCTTCTCATCCTCTGTGCGGTACTTCTCGGCTTCGTTGACCATACGCTCGATGTCCTCCTTCGACAGGCGACCCTTGTCGTTCGTGATGGTAATCTTGTTCTCCTTGTTGGTGGAGCGCTCCAGAGCGGTTACATTCAAGATACCGTTGGCATCTATATCGAAGGTGACTTCAATTTGTGGCACTCCGCGAGGTGCTGGTGGAATACCAGACAGTTCGAATTTGCCGAGCAAATTATTGTCCTTGGTCATGGCCCGTTCACCTTCATATACCTGAATCAACACACCGGGCTGGTTGTCCGAGTAAGTGGTAAAGGTCTGGGTCTGCTTGGTTGGGATAGTGGTGTTGCGCTTAATGAGAACGCTCATCACTCCACCAGCAGTTTCGATACCCAGTGAGAGGGGAGTGACATCAAGCAGCAACAAATCCTGGACTTCCTGTGACTTGTCACCGTGTAAGATGGCAGCTTGTACGGCGGCACCATAAGCCACAGCCTCATCGGGATTGATCGACTTGTTCAGCTCCTTGCCGTTGAACAAATCCTGCAACAAGCGCTGCACCTTGGGGATACGGGTCGAACCACCGACCAGCACAATGTCGTGAATGGCCGACTTGTCCAATTTAGCATCACGCAGAGCCTTCTCAACAGGGTCCATGGTGCTGCGGAACAGGTCAGCGTTCAACTCCTCAAAACGGGCACGTGTGATCGAGGTGTAGAAATCGACACCCTCGTATAACGAATCGATTTCAATGCTGGCCTGGGTGGACGAAGAGAGGGTACGCTTCGCGCGTTCACAAGCTGTACGCAAACGACGCAGAGCACGCTTGTTGGTGGTCAGATCCTTCTTGTGCTTGCGCTTGAATTCCTGAACGAAGTGAGTGACGAGACGATTGTCGAAATCTTCACCACCCAAATGTGTGTCACCAGCGGTCGACTTAACTTCGAAGATACCATCATCGATGGACAGAATAGACACATCAAAAGTACCACCACCCAAATCGAAGATCAACACGTTGCGCTCACCAGCAGCCTTTTTGTCCAAACCGTATGCAATAGCAGCGGCAGTTGGCTCATTAATGATACGCAACACATTCAATCCAGCAATAGTACCGGCATCCTTGGTGGCCTGACGCTGAGAGTCGTTGAAGTAGGCGGGAACGGTGATAACAGCGTTGGTAACTGTCTTGCCCAAATAAGCTTCAGCGGTCTCCTTCATCTTGGTCAACACCATCGATGAAATCTCCTCGGGGAAGAAAGTCTTCTTCTCGTCCTTGTATGTGACGCTAATCTTTGGCTTGCCATCAACATTAACCACATCGAAGGGCCAGTGCTTCATATCAGCCTGAACGTTGGCATCGTCGAACTTGCGACCAATCAAACGTTTGGCATCGAAAATGGTGTTAACTGGGTTCATGGCAACCTGATTCTTGGCAGCATCGCCGATCAGACGCTCTGTTTCGGTGAAGGCAACATATGATGGGGTAGTGCGATTACCCTGGTCATTGGCAATGATCTCAACTTTGCCATGCTGGAATACACCCACGCAAGAGTAGGTTGTACCCAAATCAATACCAACAGCAGGAGCTTTAGACATCTGAAATTAGAAGTGAAAAAGGATGTTATGTATGTATTATTTAAATCGAAATGACATAAAATGTTTGCATAATTGATGTAAAAGGGAAGGTGTAAGATGCACAGATACCTTTAAACTAATATATATTATTTTTATATGATATATAACGATATCGTTGTAATCAATGAAAATTGCACTACTTTTCAAATTTTAAATGTGAAGCAAACAAACTGATGAGAACATAGGGAATACGTTTTCAAAGCAAATTCTAATACGGTGCACGGCTTGCGTGGTAGAACTGGTTTCCTATAGGAAAACTTGCAAACCGTGCTATCCCTTACACCGTGTAAAGGTTTTGCAAGATAAAGAGATTACCCCTAATATTATTCTTCTGTAGACTTTGTTGTTGAAAACTGAATAAGAAACTGCAAGGTGTGAATAACCCAACAGAAAGTGAGTAAGCAGTAAAACGAAAAATCATAAAAGGGAATATTGCGCTACAAAGGCTTTCTCGGATTAAAGCAATTTTTTTAATATATTTATACGTATGATGAACTCATGTATGAAATATATACCTGTGTTCATATGGAATAGTAGCTTATGTCTCGAAGTTGGCTTTAGCATAATGCGGCATTTCCTTTATTTTGTAAACGACAAGGAATTTTTTGATGAAACTTAATAAGAATATTTACTTGCTAATATCGGAACTATTTCGTGAACGTTTATTTGCGCAATTGCGAATGCCGCATTATACTAAAGCGTAAAGACGTAAGTTACTATTCCATACGAACAGATACATATCGTCGTTTAAAGTACAAAACCGCGTATCAACAAAATGCAAAACCGCATATATGAGGTTGCATAAATAATTTTCTAGAGTAAAAACACTCATATTTCAAATAAAGCAATCGCATTTCTGGCTAGTATATTTCAGTACGAATGGATAAGGATTGAGCCAAGAGCTTGTGTGAGCAAATCCAATTTTTGGCAGCAAATGTCAGTTACGCGGTTTTGCAGAATGACGATACGCCGTTTTGTACTTTAAACGACGATGTGTATGTACATACATACATACATACATTAAATCTGAGACTAAAATGGTAAAACATGAAGTCGTTAGGCTATATGCGTCATTTTTGGCAAGAACGAATTGAGCAAGACTTGGGCAATAAGTGAAATGAGACGTCAAAACTGTATGACTAATCCATGCGCTGTCAAGTAACAATGAAATACCATGAGCGTGCTTTATGTACATATGTACATATCGACGCCGACTTAGCATGGTATGGTTTGGAGGTGTCGATATGTATATAAGTATGTACACACAAGCACGTGGAAGAAAAATACATTCACATGAAGATAATCAATATTACTATTTTGGCGAAATAAAGGCTATCAACTAAAATTTAAAGTCTTCGTAAAGTCATTGTATATTACCTACTAAATACACAAATTAAGCGCAGAAAAAAGTATACCCTGACGTTTGACATGTTTTCCATACCGAATTTTTTTATAAAAATATATCGCACGTTTAATAATAAAGAGATATAACTCAAAATTTACGTTTTTGGAGATTTCTTTAGCCAATTAATTGGCTTGATAAGAACATATTGAGTCTAACAGATAACCAAATTTCCTAAATATGGCGTATGTGTCTTTCCATCGGCCTTTTTGTATACCAACTGTATGAATTGATAAAACTTTGATTGCGTTTTCCCACAAAATTGAAACTTTGAAATACTTCGTTATATTATTAAACGTGCGATATGTAGTTAATTCAACAGTAAAATCCACAAGAATCTATTTTTTTTTTAATCGGGGAAGATGCAAGAAATTTTAATTGAAATTTTTAAATTTTAGAATTCGACTTCTTAGAAAAATTTTAAGTATGCGTTTAGTTATGCAGCCCATTAAATTTTTTTATAACGTTTAAGTTCCAAGTCGCTAAAAATTACTCAGCCCTATTCTGCATTTCAATTACGTTTCCGCGTTACGCTCCGCAACAATCGTAATTTGATATTCTTGATAAGAAATATTTGCCACCAAACTATAGCAGCTTATGAAGTTAAAATTTGTAAATACTTTAAAATGACTAAATATATAAAACATCATTGTAATTTAAAAATAAAATTTCGTTCGTTCTTAATTTAAGTGGAAACATAATTATAAGAATGAAATCCATAGCCGCGGCGTTATTGCTTGAAGAGAAGAACGAGTCCTAGATTGCTGATGCGGAAGGTGAAAGGCGGAGATTTAAGGACATGTTTGATCCTTTTCAGATGAGTGAAGAATCATAAGAAATTCATCTTGAACTGCATTCCTCACCGGCCAACGCTAGTGAAACTAGAAATGTTGTTTGATCATTCCGCAACATTTGCATTTAGAGAGTGGAAGATTTGACCGCAAATGAATTCGATTTTGAAAGCCGTCTGAAGAAGGGGAAGAACAAAGATTATCCTTCCATAGCAAATCGAATTCGAGACAACACACCTCTTTTTACCTCAGTGACATTTCCCTATGATTTTATATAGTGAATTTGATAAAATAATTTATAGTGAATTTGATAAAATTATAGTTTAAAAAACTAAAACCTCGCTATAATAATTTCCATTCGTCGAGTCCGACCGATTCCAATTTTTTAAAAATGTATTAATTCATGAAATCAGTACATTTCACGGCGTTAAAAAAAAACAAGAAAAAAGAAGAAATTATTTTAAAAAAGTCATCGTGTAAAGGCACGAGGATTCTCGAAAACGGAACGTGCCAAAAACGCAGGGTGAAAAGTCGTCGTGTAAATTGGCTCATAGTTACATCCCGAGCTAATAAAAGGGAGGTAAAAATAGCCAAAACTGGTCAAAATGTCGCGTCCCTATTACACAGGGCAACACTGACTTTGTTGCGGCAAATGTTAAAGATGTTTTTGATATACTTGTTTATGCTGATTACGAATCAGCACCAGGTTTTGAGAAAAACGAGGTCAAAGTGTCAAAAAATCGCGTGGTGAAACCTTAATTTGAGCCTGAGTTTTTAATTGCGGTGGATACTCAAACTTCGCCAAAATCAAGTTTTGCTGTTCAATAAATGATTATAAGTGACGTCAAGTCAAGATGCAGGGATGGTATTTTCAGTGATAGTAGTCGAGACTTGTAGCTTTAATTTAAGCTAATGTCGCCTTTTATTTCTCTGCTTGAGCTTCTAAAATATTGCAAAAAAATCGATTTTTTAACATTTTGACCTCGGTTTTTCTCAAAATCTGGAGCTGATGGAAACTCTATATTTACGCATTCGTAATCAGCACAAAATATTCAATCAAAAACAGCTTCAACATTTGCCGCAACGATTTTTTTTTATCCATTTTTGTTGCCTTGTGTTATTTTTCACATGACTGCATGCACATTAGAGTGGTTCACAAAAACGCTCTTTTTGGAAATTCATAAACGCTACATAAAAATATTGTTATTTGTGATAAAAAAGACACGTATTTTTTTTTTTGAAAAAAAAATTTACAGGTTGCGCTGGTTGGTTATTTATAAAAACTCTGATGTTCCCAACCTTTTTATTTTCGTGACATGTTAAAATGCAGCTAAAAATGTGGTTTTTACATATAATTACTCGGGTATTATTGGGGAACATTCCCTTAATTACACACCTGTCTTGGACAGCTAAAGTGGGCCTAGTTCCCGAAAATATGCTCTCGAAAAGAAACTACTAAAATTAAAACGTTGATACTGAACGATTTACGCACTATCATGGGTTGTAACTTGTTACCAGGAGGTTTTTGGGGTTGCTAATGAGGAATCTCAAGACAGTTTTTCAAAATTCAAAATGGCGGATCTAAAATAGCGCAAATTTTTTTTTTAATATTATTGATTTGTTCGAATCCCGGCACTCGGTAGTTTTTGGGGTCGCTGTTTCGAACAAATCCAATCTTTTTTTTTTAATTTATCGGTATTTTGGATCCACCATTTTGAATTTAGTAAAACTGACTCCAGATTTCGTATTAGCAATCCCAGAATCCCCTGGTAACAATTTCCAACCTATAATATTGCGTAAATCGTTCAGTATGAACGTTTTAATTTGGGGAGTATTCTTTTCGAGAGCATATTTTGGGGAACTAGGGCCATTCTAAATGTCCAGGACTGGTATGTAATTAACGGAATATTCCCCAATAATACCAGAGTAATTATACATATATATATCGTTTCCAGTGGCTTTCTGAACTTGCTGATTACGAATCTGATGTCAGTTTTTCAAAATTCAAAATGGTGGATCCAAAATGGCGACCAACTTAAAACAAAATGATTGGATTGGTGTGAAACTCTTAACCGCACTTTTTATCACAAATAACAATAATTTTTGAACCACTCTAATATGTATGTATGTATATATTTTATTCCAAACACACAGCTAAATGATACATTTTAAACATTTTTATGCTTCAGAATATTTACACACATGTTTACCATGCGCAGATAGGCGGGTTAGCACTCAGAAGAATACAAACACATAAACAATATCTGATAAGCGATCAGTGTTGCCAGTTTAGCCATTTTCCCGACTAGATCTAGGCGGTTGCGATAGCAAACAGTCGGAGAAAATTCGATTTAGCCGGCAGCCGTTTTGCAAAAAAGTTAACCGTTTTTAACCGATTTCTCTATTTGCCGTATTTTACTAAAATTCAAATACATGCATATATAAGTAGCCATTTTAACAAATTTGGCGACCCCCAATCTATTAGAAGAAATTTTCATGTCGGAAATTGAAAGAATTTTCTCTAATGCAGTCTTAAAATACTAGGCCGATTTCAATGATTTTTATTTTATGTGAATATACAGTGACCCAAATATGAACTGAGACGCGACATTTTAACTTATTATTTTATAGCTGATTATTACAAACACCATTACCATTTTGTAAAGATGCTGATTAAAAATTAAAAATTTTGGTGAAATTTTTCAGAATTTTCATAATTTTTGCAGTCTGAAATTGAGACTTATGTTTTTGAGTATTCAGCTATATTTTCATAAAAAAATAAACATTAAATAAACTAAATGAAAATAGCCAAAACTTGCTAAAACCTCGCGTTTCATTTTATATTTGGGTCAGTGATTTTTTTTCCAAAGAAGGACTTAGCGGGGACTTTCTTTATACAATTTTAACACCCTTTTATCAGCTTCACCTGTATGTTTGTATGTATGTATGTTTGTAACCGACCCCTTTGGACTCGATTTTGACCCACTTTAAAGGGACAGATTTAATTCAAACTTTGTACACTTATCAAGAATCAGCGACATATAATAATTTCATAAGTTTATCTCATTATCCTGATTAGGGGTGCGTTCAGAAATGCATCAAGCCAAAGCATCAGAGTCTTTTATTTCTAAACTATAATTGATGGAAATGTTTTATTTGAGCAACTAAGTTCCAATTCGGTTTTTAACCGTGGTTGCGCATATTTAACATTTCCATCGATTATACTTTAAAAATGAAAGAGACTGATGCTTTGGCTTGATTCATTTCTGAACGCGCCCTAGGATCGCCAGGATTAAATAATTTCCTCACACAGCCTCTGTCTGCATACCGTCTACTCACTTTCCGGCTCGTGCACTCGAGCATTTAGAAAAAATTTTATTTTTAACAATAAATCGAACTAAAAATTAAAAATAAATATAGTTTAAAAAAACTAAAAAACACGCTTTTAAAGCATATCAAACTAAAAAGTAAAAAATAATTCTTAATATAAGTTGAAAATAATAATGAACAAAAAATACTAGTATTATTGTGAAAAAGTGTGGGTTGCTCGATAGACGAAAAATATGGCAAAGAGCGCCCCACGCTGTTTCACAATAATACTAGTATTTTTTGTTCATTATTATTTTCAACTTATATTAAGAATAATTTTTTACTTTTTAGTTTGATTTGCTTTAAAAGCGTGTTTTTTATTTAGTTTTTTTAAACTATATTTATTTGTTATGAATCGCTTATATTTAAATGCGAAGTTTTATTCGCAACACTTAGAAAATAACGAACTAGAATAAAAGAGCACGAATATCGATATGAAGCAAAACTCTATGGGAAGACAACACCTGTATCAACAGAGATAGTGAAAGTTATAATCGTTTTGGAAAAAAAATCCAAATTTCCGCTGGGGGGTGAGGGGTGACTTTTCATAAAGCGGCGTCCATCTTTCGTTTAGGGGGGCTTTGACAGATCATACATATATCCAAAGAAAAAAAAAAAGTGAAGCCAATCGAAATTGTGACTCATGCCTCATGCGAATGCCTCATTTATATATTAAATTTGAGTATTTGTAGGGTTGCAATTTTAAAATTCTTTTATGCCATTAGTGTCTGAATTTTGTTTTATTTAAATTTGGTCGTAAATTAAATTATATCACGGGGTCCCGTGATCCCGAGGGCTTAATCCTGGAATTTCGGGACTCAAGAAGTGCTCGGGACCCCCGGGATTCGGGATCCCGATTCCTTACCCCCGACTAAGCAAAATACTTTACACATACTGATATAGCCATTTTTCAGGACGAAGAGTAACGCTAGTGTAAGGCAAATTTTTTCAATAAAAAAGGAAAAGCCTAAGTTTGTAATTTATCTATTTTTTTATACATATTTATTACATATACAAACAGACTTCCAAAATCCTAATTGCATTGCATACGTATAAATTTTGTATACTTTTCCAAAACGGATCCGAAAAGTTATCGAAAGGCATCGCTAGAGTAATCAGCGCATTGGAAACAAAGTTCATGCTTGGTTTGTTTTTGTTTACCATTGATATTTTAAAAATGGAGAATTCCAAATCATTGGTTTACTAAATATCCAAAATATGCAATGCGTATGGTTGCAATGTTTCGCAACTCTACATATACAACAGTTTAAATACCGCAGTAGAACAGTATTCAAACATTTGAGGTATTCACAACGATGTCGTAAGTGCCGTATTGTTGTATGTCGTAAACTTTAAAAGCTTAAATAAATGTTTATAGAACTTGAATGCATAATATGACTTTGATGGTACTTTTCGAATCCCCTAATATATTTTTTAGGCGTTTAAAGTTTACGACATACAAGAATACGACACTTTCGACACCGTAGTGAATACCCCAATTGTAACGTTTTGGAAGTCAGCCGAATTTACCGGTCGGCCCAAAAAGTTCTGGCAACACTGAAAACGATTCGGTTCATCGTACATTTGTTGTACTTTTTCGTCTCATTTCGTGTTATATACTTTTCGTTAAAATGTTAAAACAAATGAACTTTTGCAAATATGTACAGAAAAAAATGTGCTTCTTGCGAGAAAGTTTCCATGCCTAATCACATGTTTTTAACGTCTCAGACAACTTCGATGATGCAGACTATATATGTATGAACATAAATTGCGTCTTATTAGAACCGGTTGAATTTAATACATTCAGTGTCCGTGATAAGCATTTTTTTGCATTACATGAACTTGAGATTGAGGAGGTTCATTTAAGACTTCTCCCGTTATACATATGTATATACGTACATAGAAAAAAAGAGCTGAAGCTGAGACTTATATTTCTCAGAAAAGGGTTGATCTTAAACTCAACTCCAGAATGCAAAAACTTAGGATTGACTTCGCTTTATAACACTACATATCCCATTTTTCCTCACCCTGGGGTCCACACTTTCAGAATGTGAGTGCAGCCCTTTAGCACCCCTAATCGAAATTTTCCCAAAATTTAGTCGAGCTTAAGCCAAGATTGTAAATATTATCTTGGATTATTTTGAATTTCAATAGCACGTAGGTAATTCACTCATAGACAGCCATTGGGGGAACAGCTGCTTTAGATGCTAGTCGGTTACTATAATAAACGTTATAACTGCCATCGTGTAATATGTAGTACAATGCTCCAAACAAAAGATGATCGGAAACAATAGTTTGCGCAAGCCAGCTGCTTTACGCTCAGAGTACAACGATGACTCACACAAAACAAGCCCAAGGTGTAATAAACGACGGATAAGAATCTGAACAAAGGCAAGTATGTATGTATATATATACATATGGTATGTATGTGTATATAAAAAATGGTACCCTCTGCTACACATATATATCTACCCCTACATACTTAGCGCGACCAAAATTTCCAGTGGCAAAGCGAAAACTAAAATAGTGCCCAATAAAATGGAGGAACTCAAACCACAAAGTATATACATATGTATGCACTACATATTAATCTAAACCACATGAGAATGAAGATTAAGGTTAGTGATTTTCACCGACAAAATTTTAAATGTTTGCACGTAGTAAAATCAATATTCGCCTAACTGTCCACTCCTTTATAATAAAGACGTCAATTAAGAGCCAACAACGCACCTGCCGCTAGAAGTTTATATTCAAAGTTCACACCCAATGTCATTGCAAACCGCGCTTGCTTCTACTATGAACTCCAACTGAAAATCATACTACGTTTTATAGATTTTTCCCCAAAGAACATCTGCTCTACAATTTACGTAGATATTGTTGATGATTAAATTTTCTTGCCCATATTTGCTAAAATAGTTAGCAACCACGTGTATTCCGCATACACTTTTTCCATGAAGAGCGAATTCCACACCTTCAACCAATTTTTCAAAGTAAAATTTTATTTGCTAATTTTAAATTAAAGTATTACTCACCTTAATTGTACTATTTTATTTAAAATACACTTAAATTAATGAATCGCAATTTGCTACTTCACTTTTTAACAACTTTTCTCTCGTGTTCCACGCGTCCGACCAGACACACACTTTTTCAAGGAATAGTGGCAGCGCGCCGCTTCCAATGGTTTTTATAAATTATCGATGACAAATATTCTAGCAAGTTCTGCAGCAGTGATGGAAAATTAGG